GGTGTTCCCCTCGTGTGGCAGCAGGGATGGTGCACACACGGCAGAGGGTTGGTGCAGCAGCTCTGGAGGCAGCTCTGCAGCAGGAACTGAGCTGTGGTCTTGTTGAAAGAACCCTCTTTTCTTACCAACTCAATCAGTGACTCCATCAGGCCACATTGTTCAGTGAGTCAAGTGGAGCTTGAAAAACTGCTATTTCCAAAAAAAAAAAAAAAAAAAACAACCAAAAGAAAAATACCTTAATACCTTTCTGGTAGTTATGTTGCTCAGGCTTCAACCTTTGTGTCGGGACAGGTTCAAACAAACACAATGTCCTTTGGGTGGGTCTCTGGATTTCAGGTGTGCCTTCTCCGTCCAAGCCACTTCCCACAGCTCTCCTGTGCCCAGGGAACAAGGTCCCTGCTGAGCAGGAAGAGGAGCAAGCGCAGACCTCAGAGCTGTTGAGGGGAAGGTGGGCACCCCACATGCTCAGTCACAGCCATGGGGCTCGGGCTACTAAAAATCATGGGCACAGGACTGTGCTTCAGGGTTGGCAGCACTGAGCCTATGCCGTGCTCTGCCTCAGTGACGGGATCTGCCTTTGCTTGTTTTCTGCCATTTTAAGATAATCCTTGTTTAAATTCCTGCAGGCCCTTAGGCGAGCTGGCCCTTAGCAGCCGGCTGGCACCGGGTGAATCCCGCCGGGCAGGACCCCGTGTGTCTGTGGTGTGGAGTGCCAAGCGCCGGCCTCGCCGCGGTGTTGTGACAGACGCCGTCGCGTGTCTGGTCCTGCTGAGCCGGCACCACTGGGATAATTCTGAACAACGGATGTTTGCAAACCAAAGCTGATAAATGCCATAAATACCGGCCCCAAAGTGCAGCAATCCAGGCTGGTGGTTCTCAGGATGCTTGAGATTCTGTGATAAGCAACCACCAGAGTGTTTTGTAGTAACTGTGTAATTCTTGTGCCACTGACCGTTCCTTGCGCTACTGAATAAAGAGCAAAATGTCTGTAATTCCCCCAACCCCTGTCCTGGAGTATGAAAACCTCTTTAGTGAAAAAGGAAGTTATCTACAGCTACAGAGAAGTACATTGGTTCAGAGGTTTTGCTTATTTTACTTTTGGTAAGTAAATTGTCATTTATTAGCCAAGCAGGGAGAGAAATCTTGGTAAACTCTCATCATCCAGGAAATCCCAGTCTTGAAACAAATACGTAGATAGGCACCACTTTCCAAAATCCATGGAGACTGTCACCACTGAGAATCACTTTGATGACACATTTCTACAAGAGTCAACAAGACGGAGAACAGGAATAACATTATTTTAATAGGTATTTTGCAACAAACAACATCTATTCCCTATTTCTTAGGAAGGGTGTGTCTCTTTTTAAATGATGTTTTTGTACATCTGGCTTCCTCTCCCATTTGAAACATTTGGCTAGAAAAATAATTATAGGCTATTATAATTACTAGTCAGAGTGGAGAGATCTCTCTGTAGCCATGCAGTAGATGGGATGCTTGTGTGCTAAATTCACATTTTGGAGAATGCTCTCTATATAATCTAATGAGACATTCCTTCTTGGTTTTCCTCTTGACTAAAAATGGTGGTGCTCATCTCAGGACTGGGTTAATGTGCCTGGAATTCTCCATTTTTCCCTGTTCTGTCTCCACAGACAAATTTTCTGGTCACAAGGGAGTTATGCTGGTCTCAGTAGTTAATCTGCTGAAGATTTTTTGTGCTCTTTGCTTTTTTAGAAGACTTGTTTTGTGAAACAAAAACAGCAGATAAATTCTGCTAATTCCCTCTGAGTCACCCAGCAACAATGGCAAAGCTGGTAGGGAAAAATGGGGGGAAGAGGGGGATTGGTGAATGGGCACTGACCTGAAGAGCTGACCCAGAGGACACTATTTCAGGTGCTTCCAAAGAATGACTGCTCAGTTATTACCCCCAGGTACCCCACCACGGGGGGGAACATGTGGTTGCCAGGAAAGGTTTCTAAAAGTCTGTTAACAAAGTTATTTACAACTGGTGCTCACACAGGCCATGGTTCACTGGGCCTGAGCACTGAGATACGCCTGGCTGGCAACAGAGAACAAAATAATTATGAAATCAAGAATCTACTCAGACACAAAACACATTTATTAAATTATTTTGCCTTGTAAGAAGCTATGCATACCAGAGAAATCAGAACACTGGCTTTCCCACCTTATGTATCATCTAGCCAGAAAATGTGCAGCTCCCAGATACCTCTGAGCCCCCTCACCCTGCTCTGCAAACCTCAGTGGCCCTGTACCAGCAAGAACAAAACTGGTCATCTACTAAATCTGGTGCTGATCTCAGCTAACCAACTTCCTGTAATATCAGCAAATATTTCTGCTTTTGTAAATCTGTTTTTCTCTCCATAACGGGGTGCCAGCAAGACCAGGAATGCTTTGGATCCAGGAATGTGCTATTTGGCAGGAGGAACAAAGAAATTGCTCACTCAGAAGGGCAAAACAGGACTAATGGTTTTGTCTGCTGGGGAGAAACTGCACAGAAGGCAAGCCAACAACTCCTCCCTGCCATCAGAAAGATGCTGTTGGATGCTACTTTTAATAGCAGAAATTGATATTGATCATTAATGAGAAATGTCTTCAGTAACTAAAATAAAATTGGATCCTGAAACACTTCTGTGGTTGCAGTCTCTCGATAGATACTGCCCACTGCCCACTAATGTCAGGCTCTCCCTGGACTTGACAGGGCAGCTGCTGTTCTTCCTGGCCTTCTGGAAATGATCCAGCTATGATGTGTTCCTGATATCCCTGAGCTGCAGGGCGTTTCATTCTGCTGCTCCAGGCAATTTGATAAAGGCTCCTTCCTCCCACTCCAGAGTTAACCCTCCCAGACTGTAGCTGGACACCTTGCTGCAACAATGCAGCATTCAGTAGGGATCATGCCCATTTGCTTAGTTAAAATGTGCTCAAATTGTTTGTTTCATACAAAGGAGCAATTAAATTGATTGCATTGTGTTTTCTGAGCCAACAGCAATAATGGTAGGTGTGTATTGGGGTGATTGCTACAGCTCTTTATAAATAAAGTTATTTTAAGAATTATTATCCTTTTCTTGACACAAAGATTTTATGCAGCATAAAATAAAACTTGGTTTCCATCCATTAGAGAAAGAAGGGGAAAGTCTTCAGCTGATACATAGTATAAGAAACCACGAATTTCCATTTGCACTGTTGCATTGTCCTTACTCCAGACCTACAGGAAAAGTCAATGCTTTTTTTTTTTCTTTCTCCCATTTGAGACCACTGGAGTTATCCAGGCCTTTCCATGCTTTCCTGTTATTTTACCTCAGGATCAGATTTTTCATTCAGACAATTACAGATATGGACAGCATCTACAGGCACAGTTCAGCCTTATCTTACAGCAAAAGGAAAATGATCTTCTATCCACCCCATGCAGGGAGGTCCCATTGTGTGTGGGAAAGTGGTACCTGTCACTACTGTCTTTGCCTGGTCAAAAGGCACAGCTCTCACCAACTGAGGCTCACTTTTAAGTCAGTTCCCTGCTCTGTCAGATGTGGAGTGGCCTCTGCAAAGGGTTCCCTGCACCATGTCAGAGCCATGTGCTGTGAGCACACTAACCCTGCAAAGAGAAGCAGAGGAGAAAAATCCCACAATATATGACTTATGTGTATTTGACCCTGGCAAATGATCAGCTGCTGGAGGCCTGGAGCATGACGGTTATCACAACTGTCCTGACACAACACTGCCGGCTTGTTTGAGTGCCCTGCCCTGCCCAGGGCCCTGACAGCTGGCACTGCTCCAATACCCCAGAACCTACCAGTGCCACAGTCTGTTGGGTATTTAGAAGTACTTTCCTCATGCCCTCAGCTGCCTTTGCTGGGGAGCTGGATTTCTTCTACTTGGGGAGAATGAGACCCTACCAAATCCTGTGATTGACAGGAAGACATGGAGGAATGCAAACATTCCCATTTCTTTCCTCCTTCAAGGCGCATAAAGCTGCAGTGGAGGACGGGCCTTCCCTGGTGATGGAGAGGAACCTGGGCAGCACTTGGCAGAAGAGGAGTGTTCCTGCTGGGCACGGGGAGTCTGTCTGTGGAGCCCCTTCATGGACATGAACACCCGAGGGATGCACATCCCTGTCCTTGGTTCTGGAATGACAGCAGTTACCAGCCCTGTTCCCATGAGCATGGGAGTCACAGAATCACAGACTCAGTTAGATTGGAAAAGACCTCTGAGATGATCAAGTCCAACCTATGACCAAACCCCACCGTGTCAACTAGACCAGGGATCCAAGTGGTCTTTTCTTAACCAGGGATGGTGACTCCACCACCTCCCCGGGCAGCCCACTCCAGTGTCTAATCACCCTTTCTGTGAAGAAATTCTTCCTGATGTCCAACCTAAACCTCCCCTGGCACAGGTTAAGAGTGTGTCCCCTTGTCTTATCGCTGGTTGCCTGGGAGAAGAGCCCGACCCCCATCTGGCTACAACCTCCCGTCAGGGAGTTGTAGGGTCCACACTGAGCCTCCTCCTCTCCAGGCTGAACACCCCCAGCTCCTTCGGCTGCTCTTCATCACACTTGTGCTCCAGGCCCTTCAGCAGCTCCGTTGCCATTCTCTGGACCCGCTCCAGCACCTCAATGTCCTTCCCGAATTAAGAGGCCCAGAACTGGACACTGCCACCCTCCCATGGTGTCCTGAGGGGACGGGGAACATCCCGACATCGCGGTGTGTGGAGAGGAGGGCCAACTCTGAAGACCCCAGAGAGGGGATGTGGGACGGCGCGGGGGACACCCGCACCCCGCTGGGAAGGGCACAGCCCCGCCGAGGGCCCCGTTCCGGCGAGGGACTCCCCCTGTCCCGCTCTTCCCCGGGGGCAGCGGGGCGGCCGCACGGCCACACTGAGGGCGGCGGCTGCACCGCGGCCATGTTGAGGGCGGGGAGCGCGGAGGGCGCGGAGGCGGCGCCGGGGCCGCTGCGGGCGCGGTGCCTCCCGCTCCCCCTGCCCGCCGCCACCGCTCCGAGCCGCCTCTGCCGCCGCTGCTCCGAGCCGCCCGCAGCCACCGCCGGCGGGGCCGCGCTCCATGGCGACCCCCAGCCCCTGCATCGTGGTGAGTGCGGCGGGACGGGCGATGCCGGGCGATGCCGGGGCCGCTGTGCCCCGCCGGCCGACGAGGGGGGTCCCGCCTGCCGCCCGGAATGCGGAGATCTGTGAGGGACCGCGGGGGGTGCCGCGTCGTGTGGTGTGTCGTGTCCCGTGCTGTCGTGTCGTGTGTCGTCTGTCGCGTCCCTCAGCGCCGCCGCTCCCCGGAGTCACCTTGAGGGCAGCCCCGGCCTCCCTGCCAGCGCCGGGCCCGGGGCTGCCCGTCCCTGCCCTCGCTGCCCCGGGCCGGGCGCGTCCCTTCCCCGCGGGGGCCGCGGGTCCCTCGGGGTGGGATCCCGGGGACTCGGAGCCCGGGGGCGGCGGGCACAGCCGGCGCTGGCGCCTCTGGAGCGAAGGTGGATGAACTTCCCCCAGGGCTGCACAACTTCCTATTCCTGTTGCTGTTCGCGGCGTGCGGGAGGCTCCGGTCGGGAGGACCCCACGTGTGTGTGAGCCGGGGCTGCTGCCGGAGGAGCAGCATCCGGGGGATGTTCTTCATATTTTTTTGCGTTATCGCCGCATCTGCTAAGGCGCTTACGTGCTCGTTTTTATTAATCTTTTTAAAGCCAGTGCCGGTGCTGATGAAGTGCGTGCGGTGTCTGGTGGCCGGGAGCTGTGCCGGCCGCGAGGTTGCGACTGTAAATCCCTGCAGTCCATAAAAAAAACCCTGATAAAACCTGTAGGAAGGGCCCATTCCCTGTCAGATGCAGAAAGGAAGGTTTAGTAGACACGCTCGATACAACGTTGGTTCTGAACCACAGGAAAATACCATGAGTTTTGGGAAGGACCTGCTTTATTTCTTAAAATAGCAGCCTGCTGTGGTCTGCAGGGACCCAGAGCAGGGACTCCATGCCCGAGCCGTACGTGTGTGTGCAGCTCACACAGGGTCAGTTTTGGATGGGAGTTTGAAATACTAATGAAATTCCCCAGGTAAAATACTCATTAGGGGTTACACAACAAAACCCCCATGTAAACAGTTGGCCGATCACTGGCCAGGTAAGTGCTTGCACGGGCACTGAAATAAGATTGAGTCCTGCAGAAGTAGCTGTACCAAAATGGATACTTAAAATGCCTGCCCTGGTGAACTGTCAGTGACAAGCTTCTGTTTTCCCTCTGCAATTCTTTTTCACGTCCTGGTGCTCAGCATAACCAGAGAGTGGAGGAATTAAAAAAACACATTGTCATTTTCAAGCTGCAGCAGGGTTAAGGTTCAGGGAAGGCTCTGCCTGATGTGACAATGTGCCTTGAGCCTCAGCAGTGTTTGGTATCATTATATACATTTACTAATCCCTTGTCCTAATTAACATGCACTTCCCAGTGTTGCAGGCTATTTCATACAGGGAGTTTGTCCATGTGGAACAGGTTGCTGAAGGCTTTAATTTCAGATTCTGAAAGATCTTGAACCTCCCCGTTTTGGAGATGGTGGTCAGAGAAGACTTGCTTCTCAGCATCATAACTTGCCATGCTCACGTAGCTGTCTCGTCTTGTCCTGAACACTGGCTCATGTGTTTTGTTGTGATCGGGTGTTTTGGAGATTTGGAAGGTGTCCATGTCAGAACCTCTGCTTGCTTAATTGCAAATGCAGGTTTTGCATTACATTAGGAAAATCAAAGAGGTTAAAAAGCTCCTTGGTAATTTTTTTAATGGAATATAGAGTTTCATTCAGGTGAAGTACCTTCACTTTCCCGCTCTCCGGTGCAGGAGAATGTTGTGGGACTTGGGCATTGCGTAACAACTCGTGGTATTTCAAGTAACCCTTGTGAGCTGTTAGATTACACTTTGTTTGTGTTCAGTGTGAGTGATGTTTTCAGAGAGGCTGATGAGTGTTGTGGGTTTGATAGTTTTTACTGAATAACGCAAAGTCTCACCACGGACTTTATATAAGGCTCTTTAGAAATCTCACCTTATTTCCTTTTCAGATTGGTGATGATGAACAAGGCTACGACCTGGATTTGTTCTGCATACCTAAGCATTATGCAGATGATTTGGAAAAAGTCTATATTCCTCATGGGCTCATCATGGACAGGTTTGTTTGACTTCAGACAGTACACTGATTCCATGACGCAGGAATAAACAATCTTCCAGTGATAATTTTGCTGCCTAGTGACTGTCTAAATAGATTACATTTAATTAGAGACTAGAACGTGCAAGTGCTAATTAACTCTCTTTTTTTGGCTTCTGAGAGTTTGTACATTTTCAGTCATGCTATTGTTTGAAAATTGGTCATAATTCTCAAGCAAAATGTTGTGGTAGGTAGCAACCTATGACTTTCTTTCCAGTGTTCCTCTGATGTTTTACCTTCTTAAAATGTAATTAGAAGACGTTTTGTTGTACCAGTTGAGTCTGAAAACAATTATAGCCTCCTGAATTTCCATAAGATATTAATAAAAGTAAATTATTAATCTTGTCGTCTTAAACTTCCTCATGTTCATGTGGTAGGTAAATAACATCCTACTTTCTCCTACCTTCTGGGAGAGACGTTATCCTCCACAAATATAAATCTGTTGCTTCTGTGGTTGCTGAAATCTGTAATGTGCTGTGAAGTTTTATCTTGTGTGATCAGAAATTAGTGCATAAGCCTACGAGGCATTTTTGTTTTATTCTGTGTTTGATAGTTGCTAATTCCCTTTAAGAGAATGAACAACAAATTTGGTGAATTTAAGCCATTTATGAGTGGCACTGGGGGATCTTCTAGGAGATCTTTTGACTAGGAATGCATCTAGATTTTGCATGGTCCTGTTTGACTAGATACAATGAACATCCCTTTAAAAAAGTTTATTTTTAATTATTGTAAAAACTTTGCACTGGAAGTCCATATAGAGCAAAAAATTGGACAAAATACTTGTCATTAAGGAACTGACATAAAGTTTATAATGGTTGGCTTTCTCTGAGAAACCTGCTGTCAGCTGGCACACAATAAATGCAGACCATGCTTTCTAAAATAAATTGCAAGATAAATTTAGAGACAATGATTGCAGAAAAACAGTGCAGTGTTCTCTTGCTCTGCATTGTTGGTATTGTATTCTGCATTCAGGACAAGTTTCTGGCATTCTGACTTGGCAAATAAACTCTTTAGTTTAAAATTTGAAACTTTTCTTGCTCCTCAGTAAGGGGTGCTGCCTTTTGGGTTGTGTTATGTTGCTCTTTGCATGGAAGCTGAACCTGTCTTTGGAAGGAGAAACACACCTTTGTGTGTGTGACAACCAAACAGTTTCAAGGGGTTAAAATTTGCTTTGGCTGAGTGTGACGTATGAAAACAAGGTCCTTTGGCAGCACTATTGCTGGATTAACCTTGAACAGCAAAACTTAGGTGACCAGTAGTGTAAAAGTGACTGAAGTGGTAGACAAATATTTTTGGGCAAACATATGCAGCAAACAAGTTCAATGCCCGTGTTTGCTGCTGTTCACAGTACAAAACATTGCTGCTATGGTAAACAAATGAAATGTTTTGACAGCTCACTCTTCCTTGTTTTGTTTAGGACGGAGAGACTGGCACGAGAAATTATGAAGGGCATGGGAGGACACCACATTGTGGCACTCTGTGTACTGAAGGGTGGCTATAAATTTTTTGCTGATTTATTAGACTACATCAAAGCCCTGAACAGAAACAGTGACAAATCAATCCCCATGACTGTCGACTTCATTAGGCTGAAGAGTTACTGTGTAAGTATCTGTGCAGTGCTGTGCAATTTTTATCTGTTTGACTAGAAATTAACAGAGGTGAATTAATATTGTTACTTCCAGAATGTGCTAATATTAAACAAATAATCAAGGGAACTAAGAGTCATAGGCTAATTTACTCTTTTTCTACCTTATTATATAATGTGTTTTCTTTTAGACCTTGGTATCTCCTCAGCCCAGTAAAATCCTTATGGAGAGTAGAGAGTCCTTTACTTGTTCATGTCCTTTACTTGTTCAACAATTTCCTTTCAGCCCTCTACCCCATCTCTAAAGCTGTACCTCAAGACTAATACAGAGGATTCTCCTGCAACTATGATTACAAAAATTTAATTCTAGGAATTATGTGGACCAGACCTCATCGTTGAACAGGATGATTTGAAAGCTGCAAAAACTGTTACACCCAAGTTCCCTATCCCATCTTTTGTTTGGCTCAACCAAACAATGAGTCAAAGTAGTTGTATTTAGCCTCGAAGAAATACTAGATACATAAATTTAGAATTATGATTAGTGGCCCCTGAGTGTTGTACCACCTTTTCAAGACTAGGCATCTAGGGTTGCCTTGGGTTTACATTTTTTGGGAGAATCTTTTAGTTCTGAACACAACTTTATAGGGAAAGTGAACATTCTGTAAAATGAGGTAACTTGCAAGTTTTATAGAAGGAAGCACAAGGTTATGTTGTGCAGGTCGGAGGAAGAAGCAGATGTATGTCAGCACTGTATGATTCCTGACTTTCTGACAGCCAAGTCTCATGTTTTTGGGATTTCAGAAATTTATGATGTGTTCCCTAAGACCACCTGTAACGTGGAATTAATGACATTTTTTGGTTTTAGTTTAGAGTGTTTCAATACATTGTTTCACAGTTAGTTCTGTATCAGCAACTTGGCATTGAAGTCAGCACTGTGAGTTACTTGTTGCAGTTGTAGAGGAGTGCAGAAAGCATTAGAAAATGGAGATTACTGACTTGGAAACTTGTCCTTTGTTTCATTAAACTGTGGAACCCAGAGATGGAGTTATTGTGATCTATTAATGTGTCACAGCAAAGCCCAGAACTGTGTGGGGCTTTGGTCCAGTCTGTGCAGACAAGCAGCCCCAGCTGCCCGAGGCACACACACCACAGCCTGTCCAGGGGTTACCTGGAGACCACAGTCATGTTTGCAGAACATAATTTGGTTATGTACTTTAACGAGAAGGCAAGGCTGGGCAGAAGGGTTTGTGCCAGCCTTTGGTTGTATCTCACAAGGCACTTTGTGCTTGTGCACTGTATTAAAGTCAGTTAGAGAGCAGCAGTTTGAGCCTCTTTCCTTCCATTCCTCCCAAAAGAGGAGGCTCCTGCCACCAGTCTGCTTAACTGTGAAGCCCCCACATGCCCATATATTCTGCCTGTAAAAAACACAGAAAACTCTATTACAGGATAATAGGTTAAAGAATAGGAAATGATGGCTCCCACCTTTTTTTTTGTAACCCTGGGACAGGCAATTGTATGTATCTTCTGCTTTCCCCAAGGAACACTTCCAATAGCTTCTTTAGCTTGTTTAAACAAACAATGTAAAGACTACACCCTTTCACACTCTCTACTTTCTAACTTGGAAAAAAATATTGGAGAAATGGTTTGAAACACCTGAAAAAAAGCCTCTGTTAAAAAGCAAGGCTGCCTTTTTACTGGTGTTTCAGACATGTTTCAGTTTATTTCTTTACTACAGCTGCTTTTGTTTGCTACCCCCCAGAACTACAGTGCCTTGTTATTAATAGGGGAGTGAGCAACCAAGTAGGTTTTATGGAAATTAAAATCCTCTTTTTGTAGTAAAAACATGTAGATGAAGAGAGAAGCAGAGAAAGCCAGACGGAAAGTTGTCTAAGTAGAATGTTTTCCTTGAGGTGTTGGCTTCAGGGTTTTTGGTTTTGTCAGCCAATTCTATAAAAGAATGTTTTCTTAGTCTAGATGAGTTAGGAGCTCCTGTTACCTGATGCCTCCACTGCAGTATTTACAAGCACTTCATTTCTGTAGACTCTCTTAGGTGGTTATTAATATCCAATCTTAGGTCCTTTAGAGTGGATAAGAATGTCCTAACATGGACATGTATGTAGCAGCTTGACTGGGTCTTCCATCAGAAATAGTATTGTAATGCTAAATCTGCTCTGTAGTTTTGACCTGTGCTTTACTAGATGGACAGATTTGTGTTTAGTGATGTGAAAACCATCACAAGCTGTAATGGACAGTTGGAAGTGGAGCTTTTGACTCTCTTGTCACTGTCTCTGGATATGATTACTAGATCATCCTGCCTGCCTCTACAGACAGGATAAAAGATGTTAAAAATACCCTGGTCGTATAAATAAAGCAGCTGAACTTTTGTAATGGTTCTATAATTGATGTAATTCAGGTTCTATTCTTGTTTCAAATCGATCGTTTAATATTTACAAGCATATGGGGGTTGTGTTGCAATGGGTTTTTGTGTTGCAATGCAAAGTTCATACTGTTCTGCACCCAAAAATAATTTTCTAAGAATACTGACATGATCAAGCTGTGATTAAACTTTGCTCGTAACTCCAGTTTTCTGAGTCCTTACAGATGAATTTTAATGATCTGGCAAGCTGTTAAGAAATGGAAAGATAGTGTTTGTGAACAGATCCAGCTCTCAGTATTCTTGACAAACAGTTCATTCTGTTTGTGTTACAGGAAGAATGGCTTTTCACCAGTCTACTGCATTTAAACATGGAAATGAGCAAATGTTGCTTATATAGTCATGAAGGGCAGCCAAAAGACAGTAGATGTGTTGTGCTGTCACTTGGAAAAATAGGGATTTTCAGTGGAGTACATGGTAAACTCTGGTTAGACTGGTCACAGCAGTATTCTGAAAGGTCTCTGCCAACCAAGCCTTATAGCAGATGCTGTAAGGAACTTAAAATGCCTTTTTAAAAGGTGATCTTGGAGTCACTTGAGTCAGGAGTTATGATCTTGTAAAGCATTATTGTTTTCCAGCAGTGACAACAGGGAGGCAGTGAAAACAGATCTAAACAGTAAAACTCTTATGTGTTAAACCACGAAGCATTAAAGTCTTACCAGTACTGAACTGGGAAATAAGGCTCCTGAAGATAACTAAAACATTGCTTAATTATTAAACAAAGTTCTTGCCAGTGGAAATCTGGTTACAACCGGTGTCAGAAACCTTTAACTGTTTTTTCACCCTTTCATTGCTCAGGAACTCAGCACCTGCATAGGCATTTAATATGACCCGTGAGACACTGTCAAGGTTTAAAGTCAGTTGAGTGACTTTAATAAACTGCAAAGATTTGTGAAGCACTTCTAGCATCTGTTTTTATCTTTCCTCTGTAACAGTTCATTTACGTTTTTTTCACAGTTTAGTTTTGCTGAAGCAAAATGCTCTGTTGTAGTGATGGTGTACTTGTGTTGCTGTTCCATTGCTGTAAGAAGTAATTTGATCTGTTACCAATATTTGCTGTAAACTAGGCAAGCATAAGCTTTTCTGGCTATTTTTGTAGCTTATAGTTCTGAATAGTAATCTGTGCCTTGTTTGCTGGCTATTCTTCTTATGATTGCTTATTCTTATTCAGAGTAAGGCTTTCTAAGGCATTAAAGTTTAAATGTAAATTACCAGCTATATGGCAGCATGCAGCTTGGAAAACAAACTGCTTTTTGTCCTCTTTCCATATCTGTAGGGAATGCATAGCAAATCCTAGCTTTTTAGATACATATGTATATATAATGGTCACAGATGAGAGATGGTGCCTGCACTGATGCAAATCTCTGGTCAAACAGTTTTTAATCTGAAATACCATCTTTGAAGTTGATCACTTGTAATTTCTTAGTTAATAGAGAGATGCTGTTTTTGAAAGCATTAACATTCACTGGTTATGTGCTTTGCAATTTTGACATTTGCTGCAAGAAAAAAATTAGTTTGACATTTACTGCAAGGAAATAATTAGTTTTATTCTGGTAATGGTAATGTTCACCCTTCTCTTTCTTAGAATGATCAGTCAACTGGAGATATCAAAGTCATTGGGGGAGATGACCTCTCAACCTTGACCGGAAAGGTATGACTCTTTGTATGTTTAAAAGCAAGTAAACAAACAAACCACTAAAGAACCCACATACCTGCATGATTTTAAGGCTGCTCCTTTAGTGTGTGAAGATTATAGGTTTAAAAAATGGAAATGTTTCCTTTAAATATTCACCACTGTGTACTCAGAGAGTGGATAAGCCCCATCAAAGCCATCAGTTTAGTCTGAACTTAAAAAATCCTCTGTTTGCTGTCTTTGGTATCAGCAAAGTCTTAGATTTGTTCTTCTGCAATGCCTGAGAAGAATCTTGTGTAGGCTGTTGTCTACAAACTACCTTTGAAAGAGACTGGTGTTTTTTATTTGCCATATTGGTGTTCCAGTGAAGTAGTGGTAGTTCCTGTGACAGGCAGTGACAAGAGAAGGAAATGGGAGAACGTAAATTGGGAATCTGCTTTTCTCCAGTGATTCAATGGAGATCATTGAGCCAGATGTCAGGGGTTAAAGCATCACTGCCTCCTGCTCTGTCAGAACACAGCACTTTCCCCTTCTCTTTACACATGTGATCTTTAAGACATGTATGTCTCAGTTCAATGTAAAGGATGACAGAACTGTATGTGTCTGTGTAGTAGGACACTCTTTGCTTCAGAAGAATATGAATTGTGTAGACTCTGTTTTGATCTCTTGCATATATCTGGAATTTTCAAAGTCTGAATAATGTAAAGACCACTTTGTACTCAGTGGGAGCTGTTGAAGAGAATCTCAGGTAATTGTTATTAAAGCATCACAAATGTTAACTACAAAGAATTTGCTGCTACAAATTGTGTAAACATATGTATATAAACATACATAAATGGTGGTACAAATATTTAACTGCATTGAAAATTAACAAGTTATAGAGATTAATAAGAAATTGTATGTTGTCTAGATATTAATGGATTTTTCCTTTTTTTTTTTTTCCTTCCTACCAGAATGTTTTGATTGTAGAAGTAAGTATTATGTTTCACTTTGCAGTTCTAATGTGTCACTGGTTAAACAGTTCTATTAGAAGTTGTTTTCTAAGCCAGAAAACCTACAGTTTCTGGCTTCAAGTCTTCCAGCTTCTGATTTCAGGCCTGAATTTTGCAAGTGGTCTCTGACTTTGAACTAAGCCATGTTTTGAATTCTCAAATTGCGTTCAACTGCTATGTTTAGCAAGGAAAATAACCATCTAAAGCTGTTTGCATTTGCTTTCAGTTTTCTGGGATTTTGTCGATTCTAAAATGTCTCTTGTTCCTCCCTTTTTTTCTTTTAAAAAGTAGCCTGAACAAACCAATATGAAATTTATTATTGTCCTGGGTTTATCATAGCAAGCTATGAAACTAAACTGCAGAGGTAGAAAGAGTTCCTGGTATGAGTATCCTAAAATATGTGAAAAACAGATCTCAGCCCAGTGTCTCTGTGTGTCATTTATTTAGCAAGTAGTGACAGTGAGAACACTGATTCTTAATGAGCATTTTGTAGTTGCTAAATTCCCATTCCTCTGTCTTGTCATGGTTCCAGGTACAGTATAGCCCAGTTTGATTGCCTAGCAGGTATTGTTGTTTAATTCTTGCTTTCATACCTCTTTCTTGATGAACAGCGTTGCTCATGTTCAGCCAATATCACTTTCCTTGAGTACAATTGACAATTTCAGGGTAGGGAAGCAGCAACAGTAGACAGGAAAAGTGGATGTGCAATCTAATAGTGTGTTAAGTCTCCAAATAATGGAAATGGCATGTTTGTAAGGAAAGAAACAGCTATGGCAAGTGATTCAGCAGCCAAAGGGAAGGATGTTTCTTCTCGTCAAATGTGGCTTTTATGTATTATTTTCCTAATTTGAGAAGGTTATATTATTCCACAGGAAGCACATTCAGTTCCAAAACTCCTACCAAAATAGTATGATACAGCAGTCATTGTGTGACCAGTGGTGTCCTTTGAAGTACATTTTGCTTCAGATAGGCAGATATGTTTAATTAGGTATCTGCTCCATTTCAGATGAATGTAAACCCCAGATTAGGTTAGTTTATCATTTGTTCAGTGAATCATCTATCCAATGACTCGTCTTATGCACTGTCAAATATGAACCCTTTTATCAATCACCATTTTAATTGTCAAACAATAAAAATGCACGTTTATTGTGGGTTTAATGTCTTGTGCACCAGAGCACAAGGCTCTTCTCTACTGCATCCCTTTAATGTCAAAAAAAGTCTGTACAAAATAGAACTTCACCTCCAATAAACAGCTAATCATACAACACAAAATCAGTAATAAGTTCTGGTTTTCCCTTGGATTTTGGAAGTAGCTACTTCTGTTTATTTACCAGCTTTGATTTTTATCTATATGCATATATGTCTTTAAGTTCTCTTGAGTTTATAACCATGATTAAAAGCATTAAGTGGTAATGGTATTGCTGATGAATGCTCTGTTGAATTTGTTGTTTGATTTTTGTTTTAATTGGGAGTCATGGGGAAATAAGCTGAAATCAGGATATTGCTGCTTCTGTGCTATCTGCCTCCTTCACTTCAAATAGACTTTATTTCAGGCCAGGGTAAGGACTGTCCCCCTAAAGATCCTATGATTGTTTCAGTCCAAATGACAAATCCACTTCTGATGCCTCAGTTATAAGACATATATTATTTTTTTCTGCTTATATGTGCAGTAGATGGGATTAAAATGGTGCACGATTAAAATTTTAGTGTGTTTTAGACTTTAGAACTGCACCCAGATATTCCCAGTGCAATTTTTCCAGCTATTTCTTGAATCTGTAATGTGCATTACATTCCTCAACTTGAAATTATGTGTTGTTCTGCCTGTTTTCCCTTCTTGCTTTTCTTTCTGTTGAATACATCTGTCTGTAACTGAGCTCAACAGCAAGACTAATCTTACTTGTACCATACTCAAATTAAACTTCGTCTCATGGCTGCAAGGACCACAAGCCATAAAATCTCCAGAAGGAGCCAAGAAGGTCATTGCAGTAACTGCTGGTTCAGCAACTGCTTTCAAAGCCACAGTTATCCACAGCAATTAAGAACTCCTGTTATTAATAACTCCCGTGTGTTATTAATTAATAACTCCTGTGTGTGATCACGTTACTCAGTGTGGTTGCGTAAGCACAGCAGGGGTTACGTGTCACCTATATTTGGCTACAAGCATTTTTATGGGCATTTTTACAAACAGTAGTTTGCCATGTTTTCATGCTCCTGTGAACGAGCAATTTCTGTGGTAGAAACTTGAAAATGCTGCTCTGATGTGTTTAATATTCTGTCTGACATGAGTTTTTTATTTTCAGGATATAATTGATACTGGTAAAACAATGAAAACGTTGCTGTCTCTACTTAAGCAGTACAATCCAAAGATGGTGAAAGTAGCCAGGTAAATTCTTAATGATTATTTGTGCTGTTTTTCACCTTAAGAAGGTCACACAGTGTAAAAAAAACCCAAACCAACGAACAAACCCAAGTGTAGAATACATTTCCATGGAAGAGAAAAACAGGAGGAAACATTCCTGCAGCAGTCATATATGATGCAATCTGTTGAAGTTTAGTACTAAATTAAACTCCAAAACCACTTTTGCTTGTTATGAGAACATGCATTTGTTAGGGATGCTGGAAACACTGTTCTTCTCAGTCTTATTGCTGGAAGAATTTCAGTACTTCGGAAGGGGATAGCTTGTGCATGCCTGGGACATCTCTTGCCTGATCACATTATGGTAAGGTTTGTGGTGTTTTACCACTGATGTCCAAGTTTAGAAGTAGCTAGAAGAATTTCAGCCTTTTGAGCTTAAGAGAAATACCCTCTCAAGTTGATAGAGGCATTTTCAACACAAATTTAGTTAGTAAATGTAGACTTTTACTGAAGAGGACGATAAAAATAATTAGTGGTTGTCACTTACCTGTACGTAACATCTCTCCAAAGATGTTTGTTTCTGCTGGCACTATCTGCAACTTCACTATATTTGTGCAGTGAAGACCTTTTTTTAGTTTGCCTTCTTTATTGTGGAATTAAATTAGTTTGCACACTAATATTAATGTTTGTGCAGAGGGCATAGTGCAGCTGAGCTTTGGAGGTCATTCTGTGAGAGTCAGCCAGCCATATGCTCTTCTGGGCTTTTCTATTTAGTTACACCTTTATTCAGTTAGTTTTCAAAACATTTCATAATTAAATAACTTGCAGCCAACAAGAAATATTGAGGATAACATTATATTATTAACCAATATCAACATTCCTCCTACTTCTTTTTCAATTGCATCTGTTGCGCTGCTGTGCTGTGGTTGCGTATTTTCCAATAAAAGCATAATGATTGCTGGGGATTGGAGATAAAGCAGGGCTGGGTGTAATATCTAATCACTTGTGTTGCCATAACAATGTCAAAGCAGTTGTTAGATGTGTGAGAACAGCTCTTCTCGCTGATAATCTGGGGGTGACCTGCTGAAGGTGAGGCTGTTGAGGATTTCTCCCTGGCCAGATTATAAATATCTGTCACTGAAAAGTGTCACAACACACCAGTGTAAATCATAAATATAATACAAATGAGCAAAGACCAGTTTCCTGTTGTTTAAACCTGTTGCAGTAATTTGGGTCTACCAAAGACCTGAGGAGGTAAACATGATCATTCTAGATAGTCTTAGTTCTTAGTTACTTCACTTGCCTCTCTTCTATTTCTTTTCCTCTTTGTTAGTTTTTTTGTTTGTTTGTTTTTTGGTGGTGGTGGTTGTTGGGTTTTTTTTTAATTTTTTTATTTTCTTTTTCTCAGACAGTTAAGGAGTTGTAGCAGGGAGATGTGAATTAATGCTAATATGATTTGGGGGTTTCTCTGATCAATTCTTACACCAATTCTCGAAAGTTAAGTTTCCCAATTGGAAGTTCCAGCAACCGTCTGAAATCGAGACTGGAACTCTGGCAAATGAAGCCCCACCTTCAGGGGTGACCCAGGAGGGAAGGAGGTCTGTGCTCAATGCAAAGTTATGCTGATCTCTGCATTTACATTCAGCCATCAACCACCCTTTCTTTTGCTCCCAAAGTCTCTGTATCCCAGACAGACAAGTGTCAGGCCTGTGGGATTGTCTTCTAAGGTAGAAATGCTGAACTGAATAAGGAGGGAATCCAACTATGCTACAGTGCCCCCTGCTCTGTATCTCCCTGCTCTTTATAACCTCTGACTATTAATTCTGAAAAGTGGAGCAGGTTTGTATCCCCTGATCATCAGAACCCATTACATTTTCTTTATGGGGATAATTAGTGCTTCCAGTGAAAAACAGTTCGGGGCAAGTTGTGCGAGTGCACCTGAAGTTCCTAACACACAGAGAAAACCCCATTAAATCACTTTTCACTATGGAAATGCATCTAGATCAGTATCTCCAAGCCTTTTCCTCGCAGACCCGCTAGTTGTCCTTTAGGCTGTAAATCATTCATGATTCTAGGAAGCTGTGATTTTGTCATTATGATTTTGTCATCATGATCATCTGTGCCTGCAAATAAAATAATAGTTTAATATATGTGTGGTTATCCTGTCAGTTATGCACATTTAGGTCTACTTCAGCTTGTCTGTCATCAAAACAGTATAATATATTTGTACCTGGTGCTTTTCCATGTTTCAGTTTTACATTGGTTTTATTTGACAGTTTGTTGGTAAAAAGAACTCCTCGAAGTGTTGGATATCGACCAGACTGTAAGTGACTTTTTGACAACCGTTATTCATTTTTATAAGCATGTCAGTGTATTGACAAAGTGCAAGAATGTTCCAAATAAGTTTTCACTAATGATTCTTGATAGATTTTGCTTTTATTTAGGGAATTTAAATATTTGGAATGTATTTTGATGGAGCTCATTTTACTATATCGAAAACCAAACTTCAATATTTTTGGTCTAGATTACATGCTTTTCACGTGCAAATTCTCCCAGCTTGCATGTAGTCAAATGCTTTGGTCAGCAGAATCTGTTGGATTTGGTCAGCAGAATCTGCTGGATTCACCTTTTGACACATTTGGGAGTGATTTGGGTGCCTAAATGTAACCACTTCATGCTGTGTAGGACAACCACACGGGATAGCAGGTCTGATAAAAGTTAAGGCTGGTTATGTCCGGGCATCTGAATTACTCCCTTCTTGTATTTTCCTGTCTGTCCCAAGGCCATTAAGGAAGGAATAGTATCCACAGCAGACAAATGGTAAGAGAGTGACAGCTCCTCCTGCTTTGGGAAGGGGTTGTGTGCTTTAAGCCTGTTCCAGAGGCTAAATTCCTGTTAATCTAGACCATGGACTTTCACTATAGAAGTGGAGTGAATTTAGCAGCAGAATCACGTCCTCTTCCTCCTCCTTTCCGAGGCTGTATATTATTTTAAAACTGAAGTTTTTTCAATACCTTAAAGCTTCATTGAGGTGTTCCCTTCAGTCAAGGAAGCCCCTCATTCCTGAGATCTCATTATAGGCTTAGCTGGGCTAATGGTGCCTTTGGAGCATCTTGCAGCAGATGACTTGTTTTGCCATCTGTCCATAGAAACAACCTGTCCAGAGCAGGACACATGAGCTCTGAAGGAAGAGACAACAATGGCTGGGCCTCCATTTTATCCCTGTATTGTGAGGCCAAGTAAATGCTAAATGTCACCTTAATTTAGGAAAGACTCAGGAGTCTTTCATTTTGGCATGTGGGGAGAAAGCCATTTGGAAGTTTTATATTGTATATAATTTAATTTTGGTAATTTTATAGTGTGTGTGGGCAGGTTGGACTGAGACTGCCTGACCACTGATGAACTGTCCTGCTAGAGCTGTTCAGACAATCTATGGAAGAGCTGATGTTCTCTTTTTAGGCAGCTTCTCAGGGAGTTAAAAATCACAACCAAACCCAAAAAAACCCAAACCAACCCACGTTTCTGAGACCTGCAAATGACCCTTCCTGCAGCCCTGCCTGGGGTGCAGGTCCAGCTCCCAGAGGTGCTGCCTTTTGAATTGTGCTGTGAGGGGGACTTGTGCTGTGCTCACCAGTTAACTCCTGCTGCACTGGCATGTCAAATGTGTAGGAAGTGCCAGGAAGTATTGGCACTTTTTGTATGTATTTACAAAGTTAGAGGAAATTTTAAAGGAATTTTATACTCATAATATTCTGTCTATAGATTTAAGAGTTTCCATTCATTTCTTACATACTAGTAGCCTGCAGCTGTGTGGGGACAAATAAATACAGCTATTTAATTTCTTTTAGTTTGCCAAATCAACAAAGTAAGTTAAAATTCTAAAATAGGTGGAATATGAATCTGAGGGTACTTGAGTGGAAGAAATAAAATGAGTTACAATGCTGACATATCTATAAAATTCCAGATTGTCTCTGTAAAAGGCTCTAGTGAACTCTAGGAAGTTCCTTTCTAACACACTGGTGACTTATGGTCTTTTTCAGTTGTTGGATTTGAAGTGCCAGACAAGTTTGTTGTGGGATACGCCCTAGATTACAATGAATACTTTAGAGATTTGAACGTAAGTAATTTTTCCCGTATGTTTTTGTCCATTTAAAACTAGGGAGGAGGAAGGAAGGGAAATCTCCTCACATCACTCTCCCTCCTCTGTAAATCATGCCTCATGTTCCAGTCTGTTGCATTGGTGACTCAACAATGGGAGCAAGTCCTGGAGCAGCAGGACAGTGTTTGGAGCCCTTATGAAACTGAAATTTATTTTGCTGCATGCACGATGGGGGCTGCACATCTGCCAGCTTGGAAATAATGTGAAGTTCATGTCTTACCAGTTTCTTGTCTTACCAGACGTCTACAACAAATAAGTGCATTTGCTTAGTTATGTAAGAGGTAAAGAAGAGAGATCTGAGAAGAAGTTAAGAAGGGCTCACTTTTTGTTGTAAGTCATTAATTCTTTATCTGGGTCTCGCCAGACCCAGAAGACATTGGGTGGGACAATTAGAGGGAGGAGAAAGAAGGCAGTGTTGAGATTTTTGGACGAAAAAAGGGCTTAAGTTTTTCTGCATAAACAGTATCACAAAATCCTTTTGTACGGAAATGTGTACAGCACACTTGTATTGTTTTCGGGAGCTCGCTATCGATGTCAAATGTTGGTCTCTTATGTTACTTTTCTAACAGGAGCTTTTTATTTTGTTTTGTTCTAGCATATCTGTGTGATCAGCGAGACAGGGAAGCAGAAGTACAAAGCATGAAAGCAGAGTTCAAGTGCTGTGACAACAGAGCTTTGAAATGTTTTGTTTACTGAGTCCTATCTTTCACAGGCTTCAGCTCTGGCACACCAGCTACACTTGTAGAATGCCCCAACCCCATTGCTATATGCTTACTATAATTTATTGCATGTACAATATAAGAGCTCGTCTTGTTCATTTATATTTTAGAAATGTAAACAACTAGTGCAGTTCTGCACTCCTTATTTTGATTTGCACTATGACTCTACCGACTATCGCTGCCCCTGGTTGGGTTGTGCTGTTTGTGAGCTCCAGAGTCTAACTCTTGCAGTGGTAAATTGCTTAAACCTCATCAACCCAGAACTGAAATAGTTCAAGTACTGTAAATGTAAAACATTTTATGATAGGGAAGTCTATTAGTAATATTTTTAAAATCTGTAATTTAAGTTTTATATTTTAATGCACAGATGTGATTGTGATTAATGGATAGTTGCACCTTTGGGTGTTATAAAGCATGAGGAACAGCCAGTTACAGTATCTGTAATCTCCAAGGAGCTCATTCAAATCTCCGGGAGTTGCCTTATTGCTGTAAAGGAAGTCTGCGTGGAAAAAATGTCTTTTTCCTTTTTTTCTTTTTTTTAAAAGATGGAATGACAAAACAGAATGTTTAAAATCTAGTTTTAGTTGAGTTGCCTATTTCTGTTAGATTTTTTTCTTTAAAAATATCCATCGGTCTGTGGAATTGCCTTTTAAATTTAAACAATTTTAATATATTTGTGGAAAAAAAAAAGTATTGTAATGTTTACTTTACAAGATCTACAAAGCAAAATTCTTTAAATAAAGGCTGTCTCTTTAAAATAAGCCCCACACATCTATCCCACTCATTCTGTATATTAAAGTGCTCTTGAAATTTCCTTCTCAGTAATATTGCCCATAAGTGTTTGTGACAGTGTAGGCAGACTCAGCATTTGTTACCTTTGTAGAGCTTCTGGTTAACACAATCCTGTCTCTGATAGATGATAAAGTGCTGAGGGAAGACATTGAAACAGTTGCATATTTTCTAACCAAACTAGATTTCAGAGAATATGGTTTAAGCACTGATCTTTGTTCTGTCTTGGCAAAAATGAAGAGTGGAGGTTCCATGTTCATTAAACATATCCATGTGGGAAAAAAAAAGCCAAACCACAACCATTTTGTAAGTAATCATTTTGGTTTGTTTCACCAACACTTCTGTTTGTGTGGAGTTCGGTTCTGGCCTCGGCAGCCCAGCTCACACCTGCATTTGTGCCGTGCTTTCTGGGTCTCGTTCTTCTGCACGTGGATTCTCCCACCATATCCTCGGATTTAACGCTGCTCAGTGCTTACACACAATGGAGTTTTTGAAAGATTCTGTTTTGAAAGATTTTTCTGTGGTTTCAAAGTTTGAGTCTTTCCCAAGTGCTTCACACTGTTGCCCATCCATGGCCTGCTCAGGTACAGCTGCAGTAGTTAATAGCAGACCTAAAATATGAATTCACACACTGTCATCCACATCAAATGACCACACTGTATGAGAGATCTATTTGTAAATCACAATTCTCATTACAAGTGTTAGAACGCTGGTCATGATTATACTGTACTTTTGCAATGTTCTGGGTAATGTTCCAAAGAGCTTTTATCTCAATGCACTACAAAGTCTGATTGTATTTCTCAACGTTTGTGTATCTGCCTTTTCAAGAGCCTGTGACTTGTTGCAAAAATGTGCAATGCATCTCCAAGAAGAGGAAACACAAAAGCAACGCGAGAAAATATAAACCCACTTGAAAATTATTGTATCTACTCAAGTTTTCATTAGTTCTGGTTGAACTTAAGGTCTGATCTTAAAAAACAGTGTTTTCTTCAACCTTAGTAATTCCCACTTCACAATGTGCTTTAAAATAACTTCCTGGCATCTAGAGAGTGTACTAGGTGGCTTAAAAGTATGTATTTACACATGAAAACAAGGAGTATTGATGATGTTCAATATTCAATTAGTTGCTCCTGAAATGTTTTCCTATCATGGTTAAGATGGTTATTTACATGCTGTGATTTGGGAAAGGGAGGAGGGTTTGAATTAGTCATAACAAGGGGTTTATCTTTTGAACCATAGCTGGAGTGGGGAAATTCCTGGTCTGTTGGGGGTAAGGGGTGGAACTGCATGGACTGTGTGGTCACAGAAGAGGTTTGGGAAGATACTCTTGAGCCACACTGACCCTGGGGGCGATGCTGCAGGAGCCCAGGTCTGCCCTCTAACAAACCTCACCTGTGTCTGATGGAAAAGGGCAATATTAAAAAAAAAAATAAATCTTACTTTTCAACTTTTGGGGAACAGGCACTGTTTCACTTCCTTCACACAGGTGTTTGTCAGATGTTGTTCTCTATGAAAATTATTCAGAGAAAAAGTTACCCACTCCACCCTTCTAGAACAGTTCTAACTAATGTAGCCTTTCACAGCACCTGTGTGTGCGCTACAGGGAGATAAATCCTCAGGTGAAAAGAGTTGAAAACATAATTGTTACTTTTATTCAGTCATTTTGGTTAAAAGACTAGGGGTTTAGTAACACCTTTGCAAGTTAAATGTCAACTTTATACAACCCAGACATATAATGTTAAAGCATTAGGAAAGCACAGAGGAATATCTTGTATTTGAACATTTATGTGGCATTTGAAATTCATTATAGTTCCACATTTTATGAATCACAAATGTATGCTGAAAAAATAATTCTGACTATTTATAGGCTTTGCCATACCATCTCTGCCTGTGACATCTGGCATTTCTGTACATTTTGGTAACTCTCGCCTGCCACAGACAGATGTGATGAAAAGTCTTTCTGTGAACTGAGCTGGCAGTTCACTTGTTTTTGGGGGTTTTTTTGGCAGTTCTGGTTTTGAAAATTGAGGCAAATAAGCATCTTTGAGTTGCCTTGTAATTGTATATCCTGACTGATTAAATGTTGGTGGTGTTTCATTGTCTGTTATGCTCTGCAAATCCTGTCAAGCGTGCACTAATCCAGCAGTGAGGAGCTGACACTGCTTACGGGGAGCTGGTTACAACTCATTAAAGGACTGTCTGCTGTGCCTGACTGCCTTTAGTTCCCCTGCAGGTTGCACCTTGCAAGATCAGATCTTGGCTGCAAGCACCTTTATAAGCTGAGACATCACAGTGGTCTGGTTTTTTCGTTCTTTCTCTTTCTTTCTTTCTTCTTTTTTTTTTTTTGATATTGTTTAATGACTTTAAATGAATTTAATTTCCCAAGTGGATGTAGTTTGATGGGGAAATCGCTTCCCAGCTCTGTAGGGATGCCAGTACCCACTGAGCTCATGTCACTGCAGGCACCAAGGTAAAGAGGGTAGAAAAGCACAAACTGAACATGATCTAAGAGCTGACCGTGAGGGTTTACATCCCTAGGGGAGCTGAGGAAGGGATCAGGATAGCGACTGCCAGGGGATAAAAGGCTGGTGCAAAGGTGTTTGTTGGGGATACATTTGAATGGCTGCAAACACCCTTCAGGCTCTGCTCCAGGCTGTGCTGCTCCACTAAAACAACTGGTGAATTGAAACTTCGTCTTGGAAGGTGGAAATCTCTATGGAACCAGGTAGGAGAGACAGGCTTGTGATGGTGAGTAAATCAAGGTGCAGGTAGATGAACCTGTTCCAGTAAGAGGCTGGTGTTTATCTAACAGGTGTTTATTAGTGGCATCTTTGTTTTTCTCCCACTACAAACAGAAAGGGAACAAACTCTCATGTGTCTTCTGCATATCTCCAAGTTGCCTGTGGCAAATTGCGGTGCTGGCATTAGGGTGGGTGTGGGGGGGTCCCAGACAGTCTGTGCCCTGCTACACCCTGCTACACCTGCCTTCCTCACCCTGGCCCTTCACAAAAACAGTCAGGAAGATACCCCAGTAGAGACTGTCTGCATGTATAAATAAGGAGCCAGCTACTAAATAAGGAACCAGCTATTTCCAACTCCAGTCCCTGTTAGGTGGCTTCTTGGAGCTGGGTAACTCATCCATGCCTACTTTACGATCCTGAGATCTCAGGAGCACCAGCGGGAATGCCACTGGATTGCTTTTGGAAGAGGCCTAGACAAAAACTTAAATCTCCCACAATATTTTGCTATTTATGGCAGCGAAATCACCCTATTTAGTTCACCTGTTCCAACCCTGCCACTGGAAACCCCTTGTCTCCCCATTGGTTCTGCATGGGAGAGTGTGTGGATGGTGGGGTGGGGCTGGATTTGCTCCTGGAGCCCGCGATGTGCCACTGTGAGCTCGGCAGTGCGGCCTGAGGGGCAGGGCTGGCTTGAGCACGGGGCTTGGCTTGGCTCTCCTGCAGTTCGGAGAGTGAGTAAATCCCTCTCCCTGGGAACAGACTGTCTGGTTATCGATGAAACACATTGCCTTTCCTGTGCTTTCCCCTGGACAACCTGTGGGTCCGGGAAGTGCCAGAGCAGTGATGCCGATGCTGATGCTCCACTTGCCTGTTTTCCATCTGAGGAACTGGGACGTGACTAAGCCAGCCCTCAGGCAGGGAGGAGGGGTGAATGTGTATGTGTGAGTTTCTAAATGTTCGTTGCAGTGCCTTTATCAGGTCTTTGCTCCTCAATTTCTCTTTGTGACAATTTTTTCTCTTGCATTCACAAAACGGAAAGTACCCTGTAGCAATCAGAAAATACAAAAAGTATGGGGTAGAAATATCCTTTGTGGTGTAAGCTCCTTACACTTGCAATTAGAAAACCACCCTGTGCTTTCTAGTACAGCATAACCACAACTACCCCTTGGCTGAGCTGCATTTTCCACACACCCCAGTCCCTTCACAGCCATCAGACCTAACCTGGCAGATGTGCACACTCAAATAATTTCTTTTCAGTATGAGGGGAAGGCTGTATTCTCTCACAGACCATATGGCATGAGAACTCACTCTGGACAGTTTATAAATGAATATATGCTCTACTTGAGTCATAGTTTGAGTAACCTTCAATATCCTGTTACAGCACACAAGGATGGGTTTACGTGAGAAATTGCTTAGAGCAATGTCTTACACTTTGCTTCAGAAATGAAAACACTTGAATTTGTATTTTTCTTCCATTTGGTGAGTTTGTTGCCAGGAACCACGTGTCATCAGGGCACCAGTGCTATTGTTTGCACTGGTCATCACTGTCACTTTAGCAAACCCTCAGTGGCTTCCACTTTGCCAAGTGGGTGATACCTGTCATGTCTAATTTAACCTGAGAAGGTTTTTTCCTTCGTTGCAGCTCCCCACTGAGGGCAGCTGCACAGCTGGATACCCAGCTAGAGTCACCTGACTTAGTCAGAATTACCCTTGATAAGAGAGAGCAAGACATATAAAAGGTCTCCAGCGCAAAGGGCAAGACCTGAAGTCATTAACACCAGGCACGGGGAGTTGCTGTTGTGCAAGGCACTGCACAAACACCTACCAAAGTCAGTCCTGGCTCCTAACACTGGATGTGAGCTGAGGAAAAGCAGATGAGGTGGGTGGGCAAGAAATGCAAGGAAAGCAAGATAATGCTGGATACCACAATGAGCTGCCAACCCTTGCCAAAAATTCTTTCTGCATCAAAGGAGGTGAGCAGGAAAATGCTGAAGGTAGATAAGGTGGCTTTTTGCATTGCCTTTTTAGTGTTTACAGGAATCTGCAACACCTCATTTGGCTCCCACACCACCACCTCTCTAATGGATGTACCTGGTACTGTGAGCAGAGTAACATAACCTCAGCCTCAGTATGTGGGAGAGTTTCGGTCCAGGGGAAATAATAATATTAAAAAATATTGGCGTAGAAACGTGCGAATTAGAGGCTTGTCTAACGCCTGTCTTCTAAGCCCAGCAGCCACTCAGTGGTGTGATGATGTGCTGCACGTATTTACCTACCACGGGGAAACGCTGCCTTCCAGCTTTATAAAATCACACCGAAAACTACTGAGGAAGCTCTAAGACTTTTCTTCCACAGTGGTCACACGCATTCCTCATGCAGCAGACTTCACATTTAGACAAAAAAAAAAAAAAATACATCTTGCTTTATCTATACAAACGGAAAAGTCTGCCCAAGCTGCTTTGCATGTGCTGCTGCCCCTCTGCGTGGCTGCCCCGGCAAGGCATTGCCTGCGGGGGGGGCTGATCAGCCCAGGGATGCTCTGCAAAGATGTTTGTTGCTTTTTTCCAAGTGGTTTGTGCTCAAATGCAGTAAGGAAGTCAACCTGCGCTCACGTCGGAAGTAAACTTCTATGTTTCAGGCAAAAAACCAGATGGGAGCTTCCCCAGCTTCTCAGAGAGAAAAGCGAAGCTGGACGTCTGCCTCCCCCCCGCGCTCTCCCTATTAATAATTGGCAATATCCTGAAATATGTGTGGCAGAGACGCTCACCATGTCCTGGGAGCCGGCGCTGCCCATCAGACAGACACAGAGCCCCGTCCCGCGCCCTCCGCCCTCACTCCCGACATCCCCGTGCCCCGGTTACGGAACATCCATCCCCGACCGGGAGTCACCGGGGACCGCTCCCACAGCCTGTGCTGCTGACCCACTGAAAAGCCACCTCCCTGGGCGCACTTTTCCGTCTCCCCTGGGATCTTATTGGCTTCTTTTAGCCTCTAAATTTTATTCTTGCCCGCTGCTCCGAAAACTCCACAGTGCTTTTACTCTCCAGTTACCATCGTTTTGATTCTGGCAGGAGACTGTAGCCTGAGAGCAGTTTTAGCAGGCATCTTTTATTTGTGAACAAGGTGGAAATCTCTTTTTCTAGCTCAGTAAAATCACACTGACCATAACAGAAAGGGCTAAAAAGAAGAATTAAACCTGATTTTTAACTCTTACACTTCACCTGTAAACGTTAACAACAGAAACCTTCCTAAAAAAAAAAAAAAATCTGATGCAAAATTAATAAAGTATAGAAGTACACAAATAATCACTTTATTGACCAATTTCCCTGTTAATCAAGTAACTCATTAATTTTCCTGAGGGAAGGCGGTAATGTTATATGGCAATTAAGGGCCTGACTTTTAGAAAGTGGGAATGAACCATTTTACAGACACAAGTGGAAAAATACCAATGTCTAGCTCAAAATGCATTGGTTGTGTGTCCAAACATTATGACTTTGACCCCTTTGTGGGCAGAGGCTTTTAAAAGCTGCTCCTACCCCCCCCCCTTGCACCTCCCTGTGCCAGAAACAGTTTGCTGGTAGTGCCTTTTACCAATCCTTTGCCAGTATTGACACTCACTGTGCAGAGCAGAAGCTGTGATTTAAGCTGTAAACCAGCAAGGAGTTTCCCCACCCATCCCCTGCCCAAGAACTATTGACCATGACTTAGTAATGCCCTAAAATAACTGAAAAAATGTTCCAGAATTCACAACCACCAACAGGAGGCTGCCGGACTGGGGCTATTAACAAGGCACCTTCATTGGCAGGACAGACAAGCTCATTCCCTCCACAAAGGATGAACCTTGACCAGGAAGGGATCATCCCAGCCCTTCCCAGGAGCATCCCTGCCTCCCCAGTGGTCCCTCTATCTATTCCACCAGGGTTGAGAAGCCTCAAGTAGTGCTAAGGAAAACCCTTTCATCTTGGGGCTCATCTGGCTCTGGAGTCACTGCTGCAGTGGGTCTGTGGACAAATCCATCAGCTGCTCCAGCCCCCTCCAAACTCTTCCCCCCCTGGCCCCAGGTCCCCCCCCAATCAGGCTGTGCCTGAGCTGGGGTACCCCAACACTGCCTGGGGCAGCTTCAGGGGTTCAGAGAATGATCCCTCCCAGAGCACGGCTTCTTCAGGAGCACCCCAGGCACAACTAAAGGGTCCCTCCTCCTTCTGCTCTGGTCCTCACCAGCCCTTGCACCCCCCCCCAACTCTCTCCCACACACCCCCCCTTCCCAGCTGCTGGAGGCAGGGTGCAGCCAGGGGCCAGCAGTGCCCCTTGTCCCCCCTGCCACTGAGGACTTCCCCCCCTCCCACTCCCTCCTCA